CATATCAGCCATTTCAAACAGGATTTAAAGTTGGGACAAGACCCAGGAAACAGAAAGATCCTGTTGTGGTCTTGGAAGAGGGGAGACCTGGCCTTTTGAGGAAGCCTAGATGGTCGCCTTTGGAACCGCAGGGCCTGAGATCCCTTATGTCTGCTTTAACTGGAAGAGACAAAGATTGAGGTATGTCTGCAAAAGGCTGGACTTGGACGATAGGTCAAAATTTTCCAAAAGAAATGGAAAAATGAGTGTAATCCATGAATAAATTTCTGCTTCCAAGACCTGTAACCAATGGCACAGCTCATTGGTAAGGCATGAAATTTGTACAACCACTTCATTCCCAGTAGTTCCAACTAAGGGATTTGAGGATGCAATGGTTTGGAACTGGGATGTTCTTTTGCCCGATACCTTGAAAGGGCTGCAATCAGCAGCCATTCCTGACCCAGGAGGACCAGTGATTTGCTCTTGGTTAGGAAATTCATAAAGCCTGCTCTTAACTGCTCTCACAAGAGCAATTGATTATAACAATTGATTAATGATAATTGCACTTTTTTGCTTGCCCCACCCCACCCCAAGCTGTCTGAAAGTGGGTTTTGTATGGATTTTTGTGCTCTGTTGCTTTTATATATGTTTTTGTATTGATTTTAATTACCATTTTTACTATAACACATGTCTAATTCTTTTTGCCTGCTCTTAACTGCTCTCACAAGAGCAATTGATTATAACAATTGATTAATGATAATTGCACTTTTTTGCTTGCCCCACCCCACCCCAAGCTGTCTGAAAGTGGGTTTTGTATGGATTTTTGTGCTCTGTTGCTTTTATATATGTTTTTGTATTGATTTTAATTACCATTTTTACTATCACACATGTCTAATTCTTTTAAATTATTTGTATACTGCCTGCCTTTAGCTTTTAAATATGGTCTTTTTAATGATGTACACCCCCTTGGGTCCTTTCAAGGACAAAGGCGGGTTTTAAAAATATTTTAAATAAATAATAAATAAATAGTGCCTCAGTTCTAGAAGCCATCTGAGCTTTGGCAGCCACATTCACTAGGTTTTTCTCTGGGGAGAGAAAATCTCAACCTTTGAAATGTGTCACTTGAGAAGAAGCACTCGTCAACGAGGTGGATGAACATACAGAACACTTGGCCCGACATTCAAGCTCTCGTCTTAGCCTAGGTACAGTTTGAGAAGTGCGGTACCTCACCTCGGCCATCCACTGGAAGCTTCACTAGGCCTCAGCATATTCAGAAAGCAAATTTCCCATGTGAAAATGATGCAAAAAAAAGGGAGAGACCTGTTTGTTCTGTCATATCACCCGTCATTTGGTGATATTTTGACAACAGGTCTTGCAATCCTTCCACACAGTTTGACTGCCGTCAGTCACACTAATGAGTGCATCAGGTCCTCCTGGAGTGTGTTCGCTGTGGTAGGGCAGTGTCTACCATAGCAAATTCATAACCACTCCTCAGTGAAAAGAACCTTCTGTTTTTCTTCTGTGGATCTGACGTGTGTATTTATGCACCTGTTGTAAAGAAACTGACAGGTGCCTTCCCACTTTCTGAGACACTCTATAATTAAGAAGTGCCAAACAAGAATCTTCCCCCACTTTATTTTTTAAAAGGCAATACTCTTTATCGTTTGGTAAGCTAATCTTTGTAAACCTGAGTTTTGATGTCGCCTATTCAAAACTGCAATGATGATTCTGCAGAGATGTGTAACTCTTTCTTTATAACTGAAAGCCCACTGTCACGTACGGATCTTTCTGGGTTCTTTTTATTTATAAGCCTTTTTTTTTACATCCTCATAAGAAAAAACATGAAGCCCATAACAATATTTTCAGTGAAGAACAGAAGATGGGAACAGGGAGAGAAGAAACTTACAAAATCGGAAAATATCAAGCTAAATCTTTACTGAAACAGGAAAATAAAACACCCTTAGATCCCTTCTGGAAACGTGTTAGACTCCAAAGCTTGCTATTAGAAATTTTGCAAGGAGGAGCTACTAGGAACTGCCAGTTTATATGTCATTGGTGGGGTGCGGTGGTTCCATTCATCCTCCATTCACAGGGGCTCTGATAAATCAGTAGGTCATAATGGGAAAATATGGGTGTGAGGTGCATTGGCAATTGTTACTGCTGCTACCTTCCAGTGTGACTACCCTTGGGAAATTATGTAAGCCACCTATTATCACCCAAATCACCGTGTCCTGCCAGGATAAATCTGTGAATTCCCACTTTATCTGAGTAGGCAGCAGGTTGTTCATGTGATATCAACTGGCTGTGTCATCTGGGGATCCCTTTTTTTTCTAACACATTTCACACTGAACTCAACTAGCTCTTTATTGCCTTTAACTATGGCCTTGTTACAGCTTCCAAAATATGAAGCCTATGGCTAGATATACAAGGTAACACAGAGAAGAACCAAACATATGATTGTTTTCAATCTCTTGGTATTAGGAATCTAGGAAATTTTGTAGTCTGGGCACCACACACTCGCTGTACTTCCAAGGATGGACTTATGTGGTTCACGTGGGGTTGCCTTTGAAGACAGTTTGGAAACTTCAATTGAAACAAAAGTCAGCCATGAAGATGCTAATGAGGACCAACCATTCTGAAGGGAAGGCATCATGTCTGCAGCAGCTGCACTGGAGGTCCATTCGTTTCCAGGCCATTCCAGTAAAGGCATAAACTTCTGGATTCACTTTCTCTTGTTATGGTGCTGTCTCTATGCTCAGAAATGCCTGGAGGACCTGCTGTTGAGCACACCAATAAAACTGGCCAAGCTAGAGTAGCCCCACCTGTACGGAGTTCTCTTTCAATCAATCTGCACTTGGTCCCATCAAGGGCAGGTCTTTTAAGAAGGCTTGAAAACCTCTCTTGATTGCAGTCTTTCTTTCTCAATGGAAATGGCTTGTGTAATTCACAGCAATTGTACTCCTAGTGCATCCTAGTGCTTTGCACGATTTGCTTATAAAGTACTTTGAATTTTTTTATTAAAAAACTAGTTCAGCTTTACATCTATTAATCAGCTCTTCTGTTTACATGTACATATTTGTGTTTAGTGCAGATAAAGAATGAAGGTTTATGTGTGATGTGTAGGTAACAGAATGAACCTGTGTGAATGTTTGTTTTCCTCTCTTACATTTAAATATGTCCACTTAGATTGTAGTTATCTAGACATTGTACAGAAAATGTCTAAAGTCAGACTTTAAGGTGCTCATGGCAAGACGAGGTGGCTATCCTCCCAGAGACTCATAACCTGAAAGTAGCTAGGTTCAAAAAATTAGTTACTTGAAATCTACTCTTTTTTTCCAGTGACATTCATAACTTGACTAAGGACAGCTTCATTTTTTCTGCAGTGTAGCTAACATTTCAGTTGTAGTTATGGGGTTGTGGCCTGACTAAATGTCATGGGAGGAATATTATACAGTCCAGGTGCTGGCTCATACTGCTGCCTTGTGGTCTCTTGCAGATATTGAGTATGTCTGTATCATAGGCTAGCAGTCTGTTGCACTCAGGTTTCTTTTAAAATAACTAAGATGCCATTGATTTAGTTATGTTTGAGAAATTGTCTAACTTAAAAATGTAACTACAGTAGTAACTAGCTTCTGGGTTTGGGGAAACCATGCACACCACTTTCAAGAAAGGCTCTGCAACTTGCTTTAGAACAGAGCCAATGTTTCTGGGATCTTCCAGACAGTTCTCCTTCCTAAGCAAGAAGTGAGTAACATTCAGAAGGAGGGAATGATACAGCCTGGGGGGATCACCAAAACTGGATGGGGGAAGAATTGTATTATGTTGTGTGTCCCTCTGCCCCCAATCCTGGTACACAGGATTGGAGTCTGACATTCATGAGGACTAGAGCTTGGAAGGTTCATTAAACACACACACACACACAAACACACAAACACACAAAGTATTATGTTGTGTGTCCCTCTGCCCCCAATCCTGGTACACAGGATTGGAGTCTGACATTCATGAGGACTAGAGCTTGGAAGGTTCATTAAACACACACACACACACACACAAAACTAGTGGCAATTGTTGTTCCTTGATAGTTGTTGTCATAGCTGCATTTTTAAAAAATGTAACTATTTACTTATGACTGTCTTGAAAGTAAAATAAATATTTGCTTTTTATTTACTTTTTTAAAAATTTGAATGCCACAAACTGCTGGTCTGTGGCCCAGACATACTCACCTCCTATCTATACTGCTGAACCTCACAAAAGATCACAAAGTAAGCAGCGTGAGCCCATCCTGGAACTATGTCATCTTCCTTTTCTACCATTTAGTAAGGTCAGATTCCATAACTATAAAAGTAACTAAAAGCTTATGATCATACAGCAGGACTGCCGTATCAGCAGAATCAGTACCCATGGTTTCATTTATCTGCTGCCTGAAAATATTAAATAAAAAACCCAGAAATACACAATTCCCAACTAGTATTGCCAGAACTGGCCACTAGAGGGAACCAGAGACTATGTTATATAGAGATTTTACTTATCTGCAATTTCCAGCATCTGCAAGGGGTGTGTGTGTTGGAACGGATCCCTTGTGGATACCACAGTCCTACTGTACCACAAAAAGATTAAAGTTATCCTTCATCATGTTCACGATCATAATGTGATGTGGTTATACCTTTGTTATTGGACATCTGAATTAATCATAAATCATGATTTATTTGTTAGTTGCTTCCAGCCTCCGGCAGGAACACAGGAATGCAACTCCCACATTTCCTCTGACGAGAGGATGGTCTTCAAGGTGCTTCTAAGAGCCATGCAGCCTCCCAAGGTGTGTTCTGCAGGAAAAAGGCTGCTTTGAACCAAAATGGTGGCCTTACATTCTGGGTGCCCCTCACAGGCTTCCACCTTGTGAGTCATGACCCAGCTCCCTCAACATCCAATAACAGCCCTGAGGAATCCTTCCACTGGGAAACTGGCAGCCTGCTCCTAGGCAAGCCCCAGCCCCCTCCATTCAGCATATGCTTGTTTTTTTCCTTCGGCCACAGACTGTGCTTGTTCTCTTCCAGAGGTATCATGTGAAAGGGTCACACCCACCTGAGCCCAGTCTAAGTGGTGGTCTGCCACACAAAGAGACAAGGCTCCCCCTCCTTTGACAGCCTGTCCCCTAAAGAGGAGAACAAGGCAAGGATGATGCCTCTCCTCGGACTAGAAAGACTGGCGGCAGGGTGGCTGTGTGCAACTGTCCTTCCTCTTTTCAGGAATCTCCTTAGTGGGATCCTTCCTCCCCCCCCTTTGTTTCTTGGGGAGCAAAATGCAATGTAGTAAAGCGCCAAACCCTGGCTGATCTGAGCATCAGTGACTCCAATGTTGTATTTACAGTGGCAAGACTTTTTGTTTTTGTTTTTTCGAGGTGTTAAGAAACTGTTTCCTGAATAGAAGTTCGGTACAGGAACGGAGTTTAACATAAGACTTTCGAGAAAGTGGCAATTACCAGACACCTAGTCCCTGTGAGAGGTGGGGGGGGGCAGGAGATCCACGCCTGCCCTTTCAGGAAAGCCTTTTTGAGGTTCTGGAGGGGACTGGGCCCCCGACACCCTGGGCCTTGCCTTATCTACGAGGGTGGTGGAGATAAAACAGGATAGCACAGCAGCAGAGGCAAAGACCAGCATGAGGTTCAGGCTAAGTCTAGCCCTTTTCAAAGCCTGGGTCTCTCCCCAACAACCCTGTCATGTTTCCCAGGCCTCTGTGCCCCCCCTCACCCCCACATCGCTTGCTTGAGCCATTCTGTGTTTAGCCAGCAATAAAAGAGAGAGGTGTCTGAGGCTAAATAGGCTCCCAGGGCAGAACTGTTTGGGGCTCTGATGTAGGGGAACATCACCTGAGTGGGTGTCTGCCTCACTTCTTGGCACTAAATACTGTATATAGATATACGTAGATAGGTAGGTAGGTAGCAATAATTCAAGTGGGTCTTAAGTGTGGTGAATTGGGTCAAGGCTAGAGACAGGAAGACCAGGGCATCATCTTTCCCTTAGCCAGTCCCATGGTTTCAAGACTGGGTACAGAAAGGACTTGCGCTTTGTGGTGGTGGTGGGTTTATGTGTGGAGGGGCTAGACTATTATAAGGGATCAGTATCTCTCCCCACACAGAACCCATAGGGGTAACCGTGAAGCATTGATGGCTGGTTCTCCCGTGACATTGCCCACCCCCTCCTTTCTCCTTGGTGGCTTCAAACGCAGGGGTCAGCATCGGTTCTGTAGTCCCAAGAGGCCTGGAGAAGAGAAGGCCGCATGCCTTGCTTGCCCTCCGTCAGGAGGTTCAGTGTTTGGTGCTCACCCTTGACCAGCTCTGGTTAGGCAGTGGACTAGTAGACTACCCCCTGCAAACTCCCCTGGTAGCCATTCTAAGGGTTCGGGAGCCTACCACCCCTCACTCCTTTGCAGCCTCCGTCAGGCAATGCTCTGCCCCATCGCTACCCCGAGAGCGGCCCTTGCAGCTTTTGCGCGGTGGCTCCACCCAGGAGTTGTGGATGATTGTCCCGCCGGGCGCCGGATCCACCTGAAGGGCCGACACCACCCGCTTCTTCAGCTTGCTGCGGAGCACGTTCCGCAGCTTCTGTCGGGTGAAGGCATAGAGGAGGGGATGGAAGATGGTCGTCCCGTAAGCCATGGCCAGGAAGCAAATCCGCAGCTTGCCCATCAAGGGGCTCGGCCCGAGGCACAGGATAAGCAGGTTGGCAACGGAGAGGGGTGCCCAGCACAACAGGAAAGTTGAGATAATAAGCAGGGACATGCGGAAGACACGCCGCTGGCGCTCCCTCCGGTCACGGTGCCGCTTGACGGCTCGCCGCAGTGCAATGATTACAGAGACGGAGGCCTGCACCCCCATGGGCGGTGGGGTAGGGAGGGCAGGCACCGGCTGAGACTGCCGCTTGGCTTCCGCCCCTCCAACCATGCTGCTGCTCGGCTCTGCAGATTTCCGGCGCTTTCTCTTCTTCGTCTTGCGGCGCTGGCTGCGTTTGAAAGTACTGCCGATGCTGATATTGAGAGCTTGGAGAATCTTGGCATAGGTTACCAGCATGACGGCCACTGCAGCAAAGAATGTAGGGATCTGGATGGCCAGGTGGTAGGAGGTGCCCAGCTCCGCGTGGAATTCTTCCGGTCCCACACAGAGCACCGTGCGGTTTTGCCATGCGCTTGCGTGACCAAACTCCCCCTCCAGGAAAGGTACAAAGAAGACGGCGAGGGACAATACCCAGACACCGGCCAGGAGCAGAATGGCACGGGCTGGGGTCAATACGCGCTGTGCCGGACGCACAGAGATGTCGTAGCGGTCCAGGCTGATCACCAGCACGTTGGTGGCGGTGGCCACACTGCTAAAGGTGATGCAGGCCTCGTGGAAGCAGCAAAGCAGGGTGGCAGCACGAGCTGGGGGCACCAGCACCACCACCATGGTGAGCGGTGCGCAGACGACACAGATCAGCACGTCCAGGACGTGCAAGTTCATGGTCACCATGTTGCTAACCGAGTCCACCAGGCCAGCCTGTAGGCAATAGAGCACAAGGACGGTCAGGTTGCTGCTCACCCCCAGCACAATTTCCAGCATTAGGAAGCCTGTCAGAGAGACCTGGAAGCCCAGAGGATATGGCAGGGCCCAGCTGGAGTCTGGGGTTACCCCATCTGTTGTCTCCAGGATGGTGTCGAACATGGGACCCTCCATGGCTGAGAGAGACCAGGAGGTGTTGGCATAGTCCTCAGACTGGGCTGGGGATTACAGGAGGCTCTCACCTGGAAGAAGAGAGATACGGTCAAGTCCCAGAGCAGCTGCCAGCTGGAGTCTGGGGTTACCCCATCTGTTGTCTCCAGGATGGTGTCGAACATGGGACCCTCCATGGCTGAGAGAGACCAGGAGGTGTTGGCATAGTCCTCAGACTGGGCTGGGGATTACAGGAGGCTCTCACCTGGAAGAAGAGAGATACGGTCAAGTTCCAGAGCAGCTGGTAAGAACAACAACAACAACAACAGCAGCAGCAGCAGCAGCAGCAACTTCTTCACTGAAATAGCTGCTTCAACAACAACAACAACAACAACAACAACAACAACAACTTATTCACTGAAATAGCTGCTTTGGACAGAGCAGGTACAAGGGGGCAACCGAGTCCCTGCAGTGTCTGGCTCACCCCACAGGTTTGCCACAGATACCATTTAGACCAGTGGTTCCCAACCTTAGGTAACCCAGGTGTTGTTGGATTGCAATACTGAAATCCTGACTAACACAGCTGGCGTTGAAGGCTTCTGGGAGTTTTAGTCCAAGAACGTCTGGGAATCCAAAGTTGGGAACCACTGATTTAGACAATGCTCCTTGAATGGGGAAAGAAGCCTACTTGTCTAAGGTTGGCATAGCTGTTGAAGTGCTGGACTGGGGCTCAAGGGATCCAGGGTCTAGACCCTAATGAGCCAAAATGAAACCCACCGGGTAACCTTTCGTCACTCTCTCTCAGCCTGGTTTACCTTAGGGCAGTGGCCCCCAACCTTGGGCCTCCAGCTGTTCTTGGACTTCAACTCCCAGAAATCCTGGCCAGCTGAGGTGGTGGTGAAGGCTTCTGGGAGTTGTAGTCCAAGAACATCTGGAGGCCCAAGGTTGAGGATCACTGCCTTAGGGGATTGGTGTAAGAATGAAGAGGGAGGAGGAAAGGCAGTGCTCTGTTGAGCTCAGTAGATGAAAGGTGAGATTAATGTAACAAACAAAATAAAACAAAATAGCTCCCCGTCCCAAAGAATACTATCTGGAAGCTTTGCAAAGAACTTAAGGTACTATTGCAAACTTGTGCAGAATGGTAATATCCAACCAACCCACCAATGGTTATTTGACTTTAAATGCTTTTCCTGAATTTGTCTGGTGGTCTCTTTGTCTCTTCCTCTTTTGCCATGAAAGCAGTTATTGCTATTTCTTACCCTATGATGCTATTTCCCCCGTAAATCAAGATCACAAGGGGCAGTTAAGACTGCAGGGGTAAGAGTGGCATGTTTGAAAGACAGAGATGAAGGACCAGATAGTTAGGGGTGTACTCTATCTGTCCCTCTCCCACTCCTAAGCGGTTTCCAAAAACACTACCTGCACATATTGAAGCATGTCCTCAATGACCATGAAAGCAAAGATTTTCAGGAATTGAAATTCTGCACACGCACCTTAATAAACCCTGAGATGACACTTGGAGGAAAAAGCGAGAGACAGAAATCCAAGCAGCCTGCAGGGAAGTGAGAGTTATGTGCAGATTCAGAGAGGTGGTTGACTGACATGACAAGGAAAATGGGGGGAAAAATCAAAAACTGTCCAATGCCAAAGATGGAAGGGGGGGGCGGAAGAGAGGGAGACACACTCATTTCAAGGCAGCCTTACTTATTGCTTAACTCAGACTGAGCACACAACTAGTCCCTAGCCAGCCAAAATCAGGGGAGACTAGTGGAGACTTCCTTGACCTGGATGGGCAAAAAAACAGCAAGAAGCCTGCTGGGTTATATAATCGCAAAAACGCAATTGCATAACAGGTGTATTTTGCCAGCTGGCTGTCACACACCTGGCCATGCCGTGGTCGCACAATAGAGACCAGTTGCAGGATGACAGAAAGCTGGGGACCTCTCTGTCTTTGTATCAGAAGCATCGTAGCTGGGAAAGAAACAAGCCGCTTGTCATGAATTTTCACAGTAGGATTCTGACCACGGAACCCTGTGTGTCCCCTTAACGACTACTAAGCTTATTTGGCATAAACTTGTGTCGACTGTAATCTTGCTTCTGTAGAAAAGACAGGCCTACAAAAGTCTACAGAAGGCGATGCCAAACAAAACTCATTTGTCTTTAAAATCCCAGCCATCAAATCTTCAGGAGGTGGGAAAACAAGGGCAGTTTTCAGGGGAGGAGATTTTGCTTTTTGCACTGTGACTCTGCATCAGACGCTCTTCCTTGGACAGCCGTTTGCCCTTGCAAATACATCAGCCATTCTTAACCTTTTTTTGGTCACATCGATCAACACAATATGAAAGAAATATAGGCCAAATCAAGATTGTGTAAGTTGCATAACAAGCCTCAGAAGGTTGTGTGAAGAATTATTTCCAGTCTCTGGTTCCCTTCGAATGTGCCAGGGTCCCCCAGGAAACCATAGGAGCGCTGTTTGAAAATGGCTGGTTTAGACTCCCACAGAAGCTGGAGGTTGATTGAGAAGATGGAGCTGCCATGGAAAATTGGTAAGGGAAGGAAAGGGCCCATGCCGGACCAAGACATTTTGCTACCTGAGACAGAGCAGGAAATGGCAGGCCCCCTTCAGATAAGTGTCTCTCCACACACATCTCCTGGCAGAAAGAAATAAGCCATAATTTGCCATCTGAAGTCTGCTGCCTTAATGATGCCACCTCACTCGACCTGGTGGTAGGGCCAGTCCCGTTAAATATCCCTTTACCTTTTGGTTCTTGGCTGAAAATCACCTCTCCTTGGAGCGGCTTTACTCAAGTAGGACCCGCTGGGGTTTAAATCCAGACATCTGCCTAGTTTGGCCCTCATGAAAACAAACACAAAAAGAAAGAAAATGGAAAAGAGAGAAAAAAACCTGCTGGGTAAAATGTATCCCCTAACTAAGGAGAAAAGCCAAGATGAGCCTGTTTCAGTATCAAATCCTCCCACAGCTCCCTCTTGGATACCAATGAATGCACAGTTTCTTTGAACATATTGTCTGCCTATCGATCACGGCTGCTTCAGAAGGGGGAGGAAAAGGAGAAAGTAAAACACAGGGGAAAAATTAGCACCAACTGAGGAAGATGCCAGCTCTTTTTGGCCATTTTAGAGTGAACCTGAGCCAACCAATTCCAAAAACAAAATTGCAAACGATGAAGGAGACTGGCGAGGGCTCAGTAGTTTCTGTGTAAAAACAACAAGTGATGACTCCATTTTGGGGAGGGAAAAAAGACCTGCGCTACCCGAGAGATACCATGGCTATTCTCAGAGGATGCTGAAATAACCAACTTGATGATGTGGGAGGCAGTTTGGCCTCAGGCTCTCTGAAAGGCAGAAGTGCTGTATAATCAGTTGCAAGGATAGAATAGATTTGGAGGGGGGTTTTTTTGGTTGGATTTTTCCCCCACTAAAATTTCCAGAACTGCACAGTCATATATGGGGACCCTGAAAGCGGAGATCCAAAAACAGATCATTTCCTTCACCTGAATCTGTGGTAAATGAGAACAGCCACAAATCCAAGCGCTGTCTGCTATGCTTGGTAAGCCTTTATCCTTCCCTTTCTGTGCTACACCCCGGTGTCTACACTCCCTTCTCTAGTAAATAATCCCCACCCACCCACCAATTCTCCTGATGACCTTGCATTGATTGGGCTGCTTCCCCATTCTGCCAAAATCAGGAACAGCGCCCTGCAACATGCTGTAGCAGGCATGCTGCTGTTGACCCGGTACTGAAAACAGAGTCGGCCTTACCTCTGGGCAGAGGGAGGTAGTTACTACCTCAGGCCACCACTTTTGTGGGTCACAAAAGGGCTGCACCTTGTTAGCCATTGAATTTTTATGATCGTACTTCTACTGCCAGAGATGTGCAGAGATATTTTGCAGGATGACCTTCCTCATCCGTTAAAATACCTTGGAAGGCTTTAGGGTACTGGGCTTCTTGATTTAAGCAGCTGGAAGGTGCCGTGATATCCTGTTGAGGATTATCACGTCTTAGGGGGAAATTCTGGCAGATCAGTCTCAGAGGATGGAGCTGAGGCAGGAAGGCTGTATGAGGGAGCACAGGGAGAACAGGAGACTTTTGAGACCAATAATGCTGAAAATTAAATTCAACTTTAGATTAAATGAACATTTCATGAAATGCTCTGGATCTTCTGTGAAACACAGTGATCACTGGGGGAAGGGAAATCATTAGCTGCTTAGACTCAGGCCTAAAAAAGTCTAGGACGACTTCTGAGGCCAGATGGCTCAGGAAGACCAGTTAAGTCCCCTACCCAGCCAGTCAAAACACAAGGCCACTGCCTCTCTTCCTCTGCCTAATCTACCTTATGGGGATGTTTTGAGGATACAGGACTGAGGGGAAGGGAGGGGGAAGAGGGAAGAGACTCAGGCTTGCCTTGCTTAACTTCTTGGATGAAGAGCTAAAAATAAAATATAAAAACTGGTCCCACTGCCACCTGTTACTCTTTGTTCTTTGGGCTACTGCCACCCTGCAGTTCCAGCCCCAGTCCTATAAGCACCCTGTCACTTTAGAAAGAGGGGAGGGGATAAAAATAAATATGAGCCAGGTTGCTAGGCAACTTTTAAAAACTCTTCTCAAACCACCCTCAGTCGATCAGTCCTTGTGCATAAGGCTCCTCTGTGCCTCCAGCCAGGAGGGGAGCCTGGGCTTTCTCTGCAAAAGCCAGCCCTATCCCACCAAACATGGGGGGGTGGGGGTGGGAGGGGAAGGCTGCCTCAGACTGCCCCCCCCCCAAGATTGGCATCTTAGCTTTGGTGGTATCCGGGCTCCAATCTGGAGTCCTGGGTTGCGACTGAGCAGGGAAAACTTCAAGTCTTGGCAAAAGCACAGCCATTTTTCCCCCTGCAAGATCAGCCTTCTGAAGTATTCAGCTAATGCCAACACAAAGCGATAGCCGCAGCTTCTAGCTGCAGATAACATGGGGGAATGAACCCGACTGCCCTGATCTAAGCTCACTGGATGAAATGTGTGCTCTGACTGTGACACATATACACATACATGCCTACATATGTATATACGTACATAATAACTTGGTTGCTTG